AGGGGTAGCAGGAGCAGCAAGGGTAGTGATGCTGTGTCTGAACTTGCAGCAGGTGGGTTCTCCTTCCAATTACACTTACCCCTTGCTTAGACCTCATCTCTCAGTCTTAAAACAATTCCCTGCAGCACTTTTCTTTCCCAGTTCTTTTTATTCCCCCTTCTTTGATGGCCAGAGGTCTCATTTGATGCTTTTTTGCTGGCATAGACTCATCGTACATTATACTGGGTTTCATGAGGGCATTTTGTGTATATATATATATATACATATATATATATAGTATACTTTTATCCTATCTCCTTCATGCCTGCTTACTCCCCTTTTATTGCCTTTTCAACTTTGAATTCCTTTTAATTCAACTACTGGACCTTGCAAAGCAGTCTTTAGATTGTAATCCTGTTTTCTAATTTCTTTGCTCCTCTGCTAAGCTTTCTAGATTTCAAAGTAAGATTCTATACATTCCTCCTAAATTTTTCCATTTCCATTGTTTTAAAAGGATTTGTTTTCTGCTTACTAACTTATAGTGTCACGTTGCTTACACTCTTAACTTGGATGCTATTGGATCAATTCCTTCCTCATTTAATAAGTCGTGTTTGCTTTGGCTTCCTCTTTCCCTGTCACTCTTCCCAGGAGCCTGACGATTGGGCTGTCCATGGCTATAGACGCTTGCATGCCCATTGGAATCTACACACAAAGGGAGGTTTGCCACTGTGGGTTCCACTCAGCAGGACTTGATTGAGGCACTTGTAGTGATATATTTTTTATGATTTATTAAAGCTTGACTGAGGATTCAGAAAAGCAAAGTCAGTCACAAGCCATAGATGCCAGGCACACACCTTTAATCCCAGTAGCCAGAAGTTAGGAAGTGGTGGTATACACCTTTAGTCCTAGGACTCAGGATTAAGAGATAGCCAGATCTCTGTGAGTTCAAGGCCATCCAGATCTACACAAGAGTGAATCTGTCTAAAAGAGAGTTAAAGTTCATACCTTTAATCCCAACATTAGGTAAATTGTAAGACAGAAGCAAAGTCTCAGAGAGGCATTCATTCTCTAGCCATGCTAAGGAGAGGCAGCAGTTTGAGACTTGGTAAAGCTCTCGTACATGGATCAACCATTTCAGTCTGAGGTAGAGGTAAGAAGCTAGTGGCCAGATTCTTTGCTTTTCTGAACTTCAGCTTGAAGTTTGAACCTGAATATTTGTCTCTGGGTCATTTATTTATTTATGTTACAGGCATTTCTTCTGGTTGAGTCTCCACTATCAATCTTTTCAGATGTTCTTCCTGCCTTAGATTCCTCCAGAAAAGTCTCCTCTCATTTCCTACTTGAAGTTATAGGTGTCCTGGGAGTGGATGTGGAGAGAAAGCTAGGGAGGGAGGGAGGGAGGGAGGCAGAGAGGGAGAGAGAGAGGGAGGGAGGGAGGGAGGGAGGGAGAGAGGGAGGGAGGAAGGGTTTTCAACATTGAGTCTTTTAGTGCAAGTGTTGTTCCTATGGTCAGCCACACTTAGTGTCCTCCAGTTCAAAGATACTCCCTCTGGAACATAAACCTCCACTCTGCTAGCATTGGTTACAACAATGTCTTAGATTCATGGAATAACTGTCATGGAATTTACTTGCATTTAGTCAAATGCCTTGTCAGATCTCCACTGCCTATGGAGACTACTCAAATTCCTCAGCTCGGCATCCTGGGTCATTGGACCTGAATACACTCTTTTGAACCTTATCACACCACCACCACCCATACTCAGAGTAGCAACAATTCCTATTTTGCCCCATTCGTGACCAGGAAACCAATCACAGAGAGGTATGAGAGGATGTTGGGACCAGACTACCCTGAATGCCTCCACTTAGCTCAGCCAACCACTTTTTCAGCTGGTGATCTTGCAAGTGACTTTATCTACAAAACAGGACACATCACAGTACCAGCATCACCTCTGGGAGTTGAAGAGCACTGTGACTAGGAGCTGGCATCTAGTGAGTGCATATAAGCTCTGAGCTCTAATTATCTACACATCTGTCTTCCCTAGGACATTCTCCAGCTCCTGGAGAGGAATTTCCTCTCGTTGGTGGTGTCTATGATGTGGCATTTGCTGGACACTGGGAACAATGTAAAAAGGACTTGACAAATGAAAAGACTTCCTACTGATGATTCAAGTGTAATGTGACAAATGCTACACTAGGGAAAGTCAAGTGCACAGAACACAGGGCCACTCAGAACTAATGGTCCAGAACCAGTTGGGACAGCTTTCCAGACCTGATACCTGGAAAATCCTTGCTTGACACTGGGGACAGTGTAAAAAGAACTTGACAAATGGAAAGACTGCCGACCGATGATCAAGTGTAACGAGGCAAATGCTATACTAGGGAAAGTCAGTCAGGGCTTATCAACATCCAGGGCAAACTGTCTGGGGAAGCTGAGCATGAGCTGCAGCTCCTGACTGAGAGTCCAGCAGAATGTGCCCTTGGGTGAAGCTCCCAAAGGAAAGAACCAATAGCAGCAGGTCAGCAGACATCAGCAAATCTGGGACTCTAAAGATCCAGCAGAGGGTGGAGAAGCCGGGGCAGTCAGCTGGAGCTCCCCACGGGCCTTCACTCCATGGCCCCGCTTCAGACTGCTTCCCCACTACAGGCACTTTCATCCCCTGGGATAATCAACAGTAACCTCTGATGGAAATAGCTCACCTTCTAGCTGTTTTCATGCTTGAGTGATTTTACCCTCCCTGACAGAGTTAGAGGGGCCAGACCATCTCCAGAGAAGAGACATTTTGAGACAAACATGCTTAGATTTTGAGATGGAGGTGGCAAACTTCTCATATACTTGCCTGATAGTAAATACATCTGCCCACTGAGCCATTTTCTAGCCCCATACATCTTATAAAAAGTAAACATTACAGTGCAATAAGTACTGATATTGTGTGAGGTGTAAGTGATCTAGGTAGATGTTTGTAGGTTATATAAAAGTAGCATGCTGCTTTATAATAAGGTAAAATCCATGGATTTTGTCTTCATGGTGTGTGTGTGTGTGTGTGTGTGTGTGTGTGTGTGTGTGTTTGTGCAACTAGGTCCTGGAAGTCATGCCTTTTAATACCAAAAGATAATTACATACATAAGTACATGAAGATGTGAATGTGTGTTACCCCTGTCCCAATACTTTTCTTAAACAAATGGAGGTCCAGTATATTCTGTTCTGTTTTTGCTGGAGAAGTTTCATAACTCCCAACACAATGTGTCTGGCCTTGTCTTTTACAATGTATAATCTTTGGTTACACATTCTTTGACATGCTTTACTAATTATGAAAGAGTTAGGCTTAGTGGTACTTGCCTGTAATCCCCGCTCCTGTGGGAAATGAGACAAGTGTTATACACAGGAGCTTGCGAACAAACAAATAGCAAAGATAAAAGTAGCAGGGATAGAGATAAAGCCAGTACTACAATGCTTACCTAGCAATTGCAAGGCCTTGAACCAAAACCAGTAATTGAAATTCTCAAAAAGACAAGTGGCATTATGGCAGACACTGCCAATACATATCCTTACCAACAATGATGTCTCACTAACCTTTTTGACATCTACACTTATCTGACTATTATCTTATTGGTTTTCAAAATCAACATTTCTACCTGCATAAGTATCAATTGTATGGATTCCTACAGGTAATCAAATATTTGGATCTTGTGTGTGTGGTGCACGAGTGTATAGGTGTGCATGTGGAGGCCAGAGCAGGACATTGGCATCTTCCTCCTGTACTCTGATTTTCTGCCTTGAGAAAGGGTTTCTTCCTAAACTGGAAACTGGCTCACTGGCCAGGCAAACAACTAACAAGGATAAGCGTCTGATGTCATGAATCAGGGCAATGCAAATCAAAACTGTAATGAGATAATGTTACTCCAACTGGAAAGCTACATTCAAAACAAAAGACAAAAATAGCCAAAGTATCCAACAATGTACAGAATGCAGAAATTGAGGTGACATCATGGGTAGGATGTGCAGTGGCAAAATTATGAGACATAATTATGAGACATAAACAATGTGGAAGTCCCCCAAACTGAGAAGAAAATGGGCACACATTCCAGCAACTCCACTTACTGGGTAAACACCCAAGAGAAACTGGTAATATTTTGAGGAGACAGACATATGAATTACCCCAGTCTCGACATTGCATAACTGATACATATACCAAAATAATACAAGAGCCCACAAATAAGAACAAATGACAGGTCAATTAATTTTACTTTCGAGGCATGGTTTACCTGTCAGCCCAAGATGATCTGTCGCCTTCATCATATAAGATTCATCACGCTGAGGTCATAGGCATCTACAATCTTGTCCACTATTTTTTTCAAATAATCCTGTTTATAGAGCAGGTAAAATAGATGGCACTAGTTATCCCTCTTTAAGTATTTCTGGCATGGCCATGATGGCACACAGCTCTAATGCCAGCACTGAGTAGGAGGGCTAGCTCAGGGTCACTCTGGGCTACATAGCAAGTTCAGGGCCAGCTTGGGATACCCACAGAGACCCTGACTCAGAAAGTTTTTCTTACACATTACTATATGTAAATACTTCAGAGAAATAAAACTGAACTGGGCTAGTGTCTCCCCCAAATTCATGTCCATCTGGAACCCGTGAATGTGGCCTTATTGGAATATAAGTCTTTGCAGGTGTAAAGGTTTCATACTGGACTCTGACACCGAATGGATAGGTATGCACACAGGGACAATGCTACATAACACAGAGACATAGCTACCAGGCAAGGTATAATCAGTACTGTGGTGACCAGCAGGGGCAGCAGGGAAGACATCCAGCCCTGCTGACACCTTGGTTGTTGGTTTCTGGCCTCCAGAGCTAAGACGACACATCTCCCTTGTTTTGGATGATGAAAAATGCAGTCATCTGTCATGGCTATCTCTGTGTAGACTTTCAGTTGTTGCCCAGCTCCCTCAGGTGACCTGTCACAGAATGGACGTTTTTCAGGTTGCTCTGGAAAGCAAAGACTCAGAAAACCATATTTGCAGTTTTGGTTCCTTTTTATTTATCTCAGATATGCAATTTACATAGACAAAAACAAACCCCGTGGACAGATGCTTCCATGTCACCCAATACTCACACTTTACCACACTTCGCCCCCACCCCTTTCAACAACTTCAGAAGTGCGGCTGGGTTATAAGGAAAGAGGTTTTTCTCCTGCAAGCGCTCAATAGCGCCCTGTAGCTCCTTGAGGCATTTCACTGTTCTAAGAAACAGTCCCACTTCCCAGACAGCCCCACTGGGAGCAACTTCTCCAGGAGCACAGAAGGGAGGGCCGGACTGTCGGGGAAGCAGAGGCCTCCGCTGAGGCTCCCGGCTACGTTCTTTTTGATTGCGACTTGTCCTAGGCAGGTCTTGAGTTTCCCTGCTCCTTTCTCGACGTGAAGATGTCTGTTTGCAGTTTGCTAAATGCTGATTTGTGGCTTCCTCACCAGAATCTTCGGAGCTCTCATAATCTACCAGACTCAGCGGAGTCTGGGAAGGTAGGCCATGAGCTGGCACTGTGTGAGCTTGATTGGGCATCAGCACCTGGCTCTGGGGTTCAGAGGAGGCACTGGAAGCCCGGGAGGCCTGTAGGCAAGCATTTCTGTGGCCAACAGGGAAAGCCAGGGCACGCGGTGCTGTGCTACCAACAGAAGCCAGGGCACGCGGTGCTGTGTGGACCACAGGAGAAGCCAGGGCACGTGGGGCTGTGCCGCCAACAGGAGAAGCCAGGGCACGCGGTGCTGTGTGGACCACAGGAGAAGCCAGGGCACGCGGGGCTGTGCCGCCAACAGGAGAAGCCAGGGCACGTGGGGCTGTGTGGATCACAGGAGAAGCCAGGGCACGTGGGGCTGTGTGGATCACAGGAGAAGCCAGGGCACGCGGGGCTGTGCCACCAACAGAAGCCAGGGCACGCGGTGCTGTGTGGACCACAGGAGAAGCCAGGGCACGCGGTGCTGTGTGCCTGACTCTTCCGTCTTGGACAAGTGAGGGGGCCATAGCACCATGAGTAATTACTCCACACCGTAATTTGGCTGCTTCAAAGAACTTGCAGATGGCCAGAAAGTGGCCCCAGTCCCTCTGCAGTAACTTTAAATATTTAACAAAATATTCAAGGAAACAGGTTTCGGAGGAAATCAAGAAGTCAAGAAGAACTGTAGAATCGAACACTATGTTCTTTAATAAGAATAAGAAAATACAGTGTGGATTACAGCCGTTTCTATGCGTGTAGTGGATCCATGCTTCATTTTCTTGGGTCAGGCTTCCAGAAGTGTCGTCCTGTCCTCTGAAAACACAGATAAGGGAGAGCTCAGGATGGCGGGCTTTACAAACACCTTCCCACACTCACTTGACATGTTACTTTAAAAGGAAATCAAAACAAATCTGCTCACCACTAACTTTCAGTTTTTGTCTGCACAAAAGTCTGTCCTTTCTTCAACATCAGAAGCCCCTCTTCTTGAGGGCAACTTATTCCATGTTTAAGGTAAAGCTCAAGACCGCCACATCAGGGTAGACATGTGCCCCAACTGAATAATCAGAACGTGGCCTCATAATCCAAGCGAGTTAATCCTATCTCCCCTAAGGTATCTCTATGGCTAAGAAAAATTATGATGGTAAGATTGATAAAAACCAAGAATGAAGCTGCTGGGTGGGCAGGCCTGAGGATGAATCAGGCTGTGAGGTCAGAGACAGGGGAAATAATGACTGACATGATTTGAATACACACAGATACACAGAAAGAAACACAGACAGTCACACATAGACATTCAAACACAGAAAGACACACACACACACACACACACAGACATACACACAGAAAGACACACACACACACACACACACACAGAAAGACACACACACACAATCACACAAACACAGAAAGACAAACACGCAGATACAAATATACATACACAGAAAGATAAAGACAAAGACACACACACACCTATATCTGATGCCAATTTGATGCCCTCAAAACTCTCAACTGGCCAGGTGGTGGTGGCGCACGCCTTTAACCCCAGCACTTGGGAGACAGAGGCAGGTGGATCTCTGTGACTTTGTGTCTAGCCTGGTCTACAGAGCGAGCTGCAGGGCAGCCAGGGCTACATAGAGAAATCCTATCTAGAAAAGCAAAACAAAACAAAACAAAAACCAAAAACCAAAAAAACTCTCTAACCAGGCCTCAAAAAATTCTATTCTTGCTTAAACTACTTTGTCTTGGCTTCTGTCATTTACAAACAAGAAAACCTTAACAGGATGGCGTTTTTTTAGGTCCCCATGGCATGAAACCTACCTCTCTGAACACAGTGAACTGAAGTGAAGGCAGAGAGATCACATAAAGCAGATGAGGCATAAGAAGGCAGTACTGAGTGAAATCAACATACACCCTTGAATATTTACTCTAAATCAGTACTTCACTATTTTTGAGCCTAACTCAAATTACATGCAGGAATTCTGTTCCATGAGTAGAACCTTTTGAAAACTGGCCCCAAACACTCATACATGGAAAGCAGTCATTGTCAGCTGGGTCCTAATGTAGTAAGCACAAGGCTGCATCACCAATCGTTAGTGAGAAGCCCTTCTCCCAGGCCAAGGGAGAGGGAAATGGAGCAAGTACTTGAGGGTTTTAATAAGGCAGAGCAGAAATAACGGAGAGTGTCATCGGCTGCCAGCTTCAGAAGCAAAACCCAGACCCTGCTGCAAGTACAGAGCAGCAACAGGACTGGGGCAGCAGTGTCCTGGGGATGTCCCTCCAGAGAGAGCGGTCCGAATGTGTGTGTCTGGGGCAGCAGTGTCCTGGGGATGTCCCTCCAGAGAGGGCGGTCCGAATGTGTGTGTCTGGGGCAGCAGTGTCCTGGGGATGTCCCTCCAGAGAGGACGGCCTGAATGTGTGTGTCTGGGGCAGCAGTGTCCTGGGGATGTCCCTCCAGAGAGGACGGCCTGAATGTGTGTGTCTGGGGCAGCAGTGTCCTGGGGATGTCCCTCCAGAGAGGGCTGCCCGAATGTGTGTGTCTGGAGGTGCGAGTTCAGACAGGCTCTGCTGGTTATTTCCATTCGTATTGGCTTTGACAAAGGCAAAGGTCGCCATCTAGAAGCTTGGAGTTTTTTAGAAAGATGGTTCTTAACCATCAGCTGCGGCTCAGAGAAGGTACCTTGACCCCATAGGCAACACACGGAACCCAGGGTTCCGACCTCGCTTTACTATCCCTGGTTGGCTCAGCCAAACGGTGTATCAGGATATGCAAATAGCATCCATTTTCATGTGAGGCAGAGTTAAGATGGGAGGAAAGTGCAAGACAGTTCCACCCTAGCAGAAAAGAAATGATGCAACCGGTGGAAACACGTTTGCTGACACGCGTGTCTCCTGACTGTCTGGCTTGTGGGCAGTCCAAGGACTCGGGACACACAAACCTGATGAGCTGGAGATAGATGCTCAGGGAGGCTTTGGCAGCCTCCAGCATGTCATCGTCCTGCTCTATGAAGACCCTGGACAGCCATTCACACGGGTTGTGCAATTGCAGAGAGGGCCGGAGGTGAGGCTTCAAGAAGGTCAGTAACTCGGACATGAACTTCTGCAAGTCAACTTCGAACAAGAGAAATTTCAGAGTGCAGGTAATGTTTATGAACACAAACAATATCTTGTCTGTATGCAACCTTGTAAGTGCATTATGGTAACCCATGCTCTCAGGTCCTAGAGTCAGGATTAGCTGGTTCACAGATGAAGACCTGAGGACCGCAAAGGCGACCCATGGAGGGCACTCACTTAAAGTGTAGTCAGGGAGTCCACCAGCCAGAAGACTAGTCACAGCCTATCTAAGGAATAAATCCGTGATTTCATGATGAGAGCATGTGAATTGAGTAGACAACAACCATCTCTTCACTGACGACTGATGGGGAAGTCCTATGATTATGTCAATAAAGCACTGTTGGCCAATAGGGTACCAAGAGAGGTGGGACTAGGAGGACTCTGGGTAGGAGAAACACAGGGAGTCAAGATGTAACGCCATGGGGTAGGAAGCCCGGAAACTTCTCCATTAAGAGAAATACTTAGATTAACAATTATGGGATAGATACTTAAGTCAGAGCTAGCCAGTAAGAAACAAGCAAGGCCAACAGCTTCATAATTAATACAGCATCTTGTGTGTTTATTTGGGACTGATGCGGCTCTGGAACCAGGCTGGCAGGAAGGTTTCCCTTTACAGACGACCATGGCTTTCTGTTAACTATGGACTGCTAAGCCATAAAAAGAAGTGGCTTCAAAACAACACAAAAATCTTCCTTTTGCTTGTTAAAGACCTAAAAGAAAGTACTGCAAAACCCCAGAGAAGGTTTGGGTTTAACTGCAACTCAAACCTCTGAATTATGTAACAGATGCCACCTAGTGTTATAAACTGTAATTGTGCTAATGAGAACATTAAAAATGATAGCCAGATGAGTGCCTGGTCACTGCTGAGGAGTTGCACTCTCCTTGGAACCACAGGCAGCTTGCTGGAGACAGCCACTATTGGCTCTCCCCTAGTGAAAGGAAGACATACCCTCTACAACACCCACACTGAAACCGCTTTCGGGCACTCTGACCCTGCAGTTGTCACCTTCAAGTCATGTGTTACAATTAGAACTTCCAGTACTAGTCTCAAGGAAACTTATAACTATCAGAAATGAACATAGGTAGTCATACTGCTTTTATGAATATTATAATTAGATATGAACTGACTTCTATTTGCTTGGTAGTGACTCAAAAGCAACTATTTTCGTATTTATCCTATGTATTTTAATTGTACAAGAATACAATTTAAGAAGCTGATAAGCTTCTTAAAATTCCAGTCCCTCACAGCCCCCTCCCTCTGAAAAAAATTTGCTAAATTTAATCAGGAAACTATAACTAGATTAATGAAAGGGCACTAGCCTTACTACTCACTAATCACGAGTCGCTTTTCTTAAGTGAGCAATGAATTCATGGTGCTTTGAATAACGAATCTGGAGAATCACCTCTCATTTCGGCTGCTGAGGTACAGTTCTGGAACTTGATTTCTAAGGATTTCACGGTAATTAAGCTTGCTGCTCTCAGAGTCACGTGATCAGGGCCAGACCTGGGTCGGCATCCAGGTTGAATTTCATCCCCTCCAAAGCGGGAAGGCTTTCCAGGCACAGACAAGTCCTTCCACAACCCCAGGCGCACGGCATGCAGAAGAGCGTCAGCTAAGGCTAGCACGTCACCGTCCAGAAGATGGTCTGGCGACATCAGGGCGGGCACAGGTCCGCGGCAGAGGTCTTCCCCCATTTTACCTAGAAGGCACTTTTTGACGACTATCACCAATTTCCTTTTCACAAAAGCTGGAATAGGCCAGGCAAGGATATCTAGAGCACAGGGTTTCAAAAATAGCATCCTTTGGCTCTTAAAGTGCAGTTTCAGGTGGATTCTGGAGGCTGTGAGGAGTTCAAGCAGCTCCAGGAAGCACACCAGGCTGTTGACTACATTAGAGGGATTCTGGAAGTTTCCAAAATGCTGAGAAAATAAGGAATTGTAGAATACTTCAAAAGTAATGTCAAAAGGAGCCAAGAGCGGCTTTAGCATTTCTGTAATTACAAAAACAGCAGTTATAAGAAACAGGAAGAAAAAAGCCCTCTTAAAACAAAATTTTACAGTTCTGTTTGTATATATATCACTTTGTAAGATAAAAAATAGGTTTAAGAACAGTTACTACGAATAAAACAAAATGAGGGTACACACATTAAAAGCTAATTACTTAAAGTTAGCATTTGCTTTATAAATATGGACAATATCAGACTACACAAGAGATATTAATGATTAAGTTTAATTTCTTTCTACAAAGGTAATCTTCAGTGATGGGGAGGTGGCTCATTTGGTAATGTGCTGACTGCCTTAGCATGAGGTCCTTAGGACCCCAGCATGCAGGTAGAAGCCACACAAAGGGGCACACATCTGTAATCCCGAGTTGGGGAGGAGGCAATGGAGCTCACTGGCTGGTCAGCCTAGCCCAGCTGATGAGCTCTCGGTTCAGTGAGGAGAGCTCTTATCTCACCAAATAAGGTGGAAAGTACTTGAGGAAGATGCCCAGCATTGACTTCTGGCCTCTACATGCATACGCGTGTACACGTGTACACACACACACACACACACACACACACACACCCCAAATATGTAACCACACACACCAAGGTTATATCTGATAAAAAAAAAATCAGAGAGAGATTCTTGCATTTTTCCATACTTCAAGAGAGATGAGGAATAACATACATTTTATTTTTCATTCTCACTATAAATACAATGCTCCTAGAGGGTGATGATCATTTATGGACAGTGTCATCTCTACCTGCTTGTTGGCAATGTGTATCTTGAAAGATTTCTTTTATGACAACTGTAAGAATCCAGAGGCAGTGCACTGCTTCTCTACTCTCACAGGATTCAGAGAGATGCTTTTGGCAAAAAGTGATCCAGGGATTACTCAATGTCATCTACAAATGAGAAAACAAAAGAGTAGTTATAGTTATTTTGTTTATAATTAAAAATTACTTATTACACAACACAATGCCACAAAATTATTCAAAGTGTTACTTCCAAAACAAGCAATAATTGGAGCACAGAGTCAGTAGATGTTGGATATGTGTGCATTTGCAAGCCCCTGTACAATACACGTGTGTGAATGCACCAGGTGCCGGATATGTGTGCATTTGCAGGCCCCTGTACAATACACGTGTGTGAATGCACCAGGTGCCGGATATGTGTGCGTTTGCAGGCCCCTGTACAATACACGTGTGTGAATGCACCAGGTGCCGGATGTGTGTGCGTTTGCAGGCCCCTGTACAATACACGTGTGTGAATGCACCAGGTGCCGGATGTGTGTGCGTTTGCAGGCCCCTGTACAATACACGTGTGTGAATGCACCAGGTGCCGGATGTGTGTACGTTTGCAGGCCCCTGTACAATACACGTGTGTGAACGCACCAGGTGCCGGATGTGTGTGCGTTTGCAGGCCCCTGTACAATACACGTGTGTGAACGCACCAGGTGCCGGATGTGTGTGCGTTTGCAGGCCCCTGTACAATACACGTGTGTGAATGCACCAGGTGCCGGATGTGTGTGCGTTTGCAGGCCCCTGTACAATACACGTGTGTGAATGCACCAGGTGCCGGATGTGTGTGCGTTTGCAGGCCCCTGTACAATACACGTGTGTGAATGCACCAGGTGCCGGATGTGTGTGCGTTTGCAGGCCCCTGTACAATACACGTGTGTGAATGCACCAGGTGCCGGATGTGTGTGCGTTTGCAGGCCCCTGTACAATACACGTGTGTGAATGCACCAGGTGCCGGATGTGTGTGCGTTTGCAGGCCCCTGTACAATACACGTGTGTGAATGCACCAGGTGCCGGATGTGTGTGCGTTTGCAGGCCCCTGTACAATACACGTGTGTGAATGCACCAGGTGCCGGATGTGTGTACGTTTGCAGGCCCCTGTACAATACACGTGTGTGAATGCACCAGGTGCCGGATGTGTGTGCGTTTGCAGGCCCCTGTACAATACACGTGTGTGAATGCACCAGGTGCCGGATGTGTGTGCGTTTGCAGGCCCCTATACAATACACGTGTGTGAACGCACCAGGTGCCGGATGTGTGTGCGTTTGCAGGCCCCTGTACAATACACGTGTGTGAATGCACCAGGTGCCGGATGTGTGTGCGTTTGCAGGCCCCTGTACAATACACGTGTGTGAATGCACCAGGTGCCAGAGGCCGGAACCAGGGATTCTGCTCACTGGCTTCCCTCCTCTTTTTTTGAGGTAGGGCCTTATTTTATTCTCATGTTTTTGGATTTACACATTGTCGTGGGTGTAGATATCTTATTAATTCAGCTATCTGAAGGAGGAAAGTCAATGCCAGTGAGCAACTTTAGAACTGTAAGAGAAATGACTATGCTCTGATTTACCCACCTTCGCCTTCAGCTGGAAGTAGAGGAGCGAGGAGAGGCACTTCGCAGCCATGTGAGACAACAGCTTGTCGGAATTCTGGAGCATCCGGATCTGCGCCAAAACAGACATAGTCATCACACCTCTGAAGCCTAAGAAACCTGGACTTATTACTTCAGTTACTTAGAGAGTGGCTCACCAGTGTGGAATCGACTCCAGCCGACTGCAAAAGGCCTTCAGTCAGCTTTCTGTACCCCTCCTTTGCGTGGGCCTCCGTTTCGGCAGACAGCACTCGGCTCAGCACCACATCCATCACTGTTAACTGAAGGAGTGTCACCTCCCGGGCCCTGCTTATCTCAAAGGGACTCTTCGCACACCCCCACGCTTCAGGAAGGGCGATCGGCTCACCGGAGGATGGCCCATGCTGGCCTGGCACCCCACCAACTGCACCATTGACATTAGACAGAGCTAAAGAGGGGGTTGTACGGTCAGCTTGTTCTGAGAGGTTTGGGTTGAGATAAAAGATGTAACCATGGACGTCACCTTCAAGGGTGCCTCCAAGAAGTACTTTCTTGTATAATTTGTCCAAAATTTCTTCGACACCTTCCATTTTGATTTCCAAAATGTATCCGGTAAGAGGATCAACAGCCCCAAGGTGTAAATATTGAAGGCTTAGAAATACAATGACTCTCTAAGATGTTCCCTCAGTGAAGCCTGAAATAGAAAAAGAAATTTATAGTTGAGTGTTAAAGCTGTATTACAAGTGAAAGAAAACTGTGTTCACTTAGTAAGCCTCAAATTAAAGATAATGTTAGATATGGGACTCTTCAAATAAAAATAGCAATAATATTTTAAAATTACAATGTTGAAATGTATGTCTTATATGCAAATATAAGAGCATAAAACTATTTGTAGTGTTGCTTTGCCTTTGCTTGTCTTGTGTGTGTGTCTGTGTGTTTGCATCTTACTGAGAACTGAACCCCAGGTCTTGGGCGTGCGTGCTACACAAGCACTCCACCTCTGAGCTTCATCTCCAGCCCTGCCTTTTATTTTCCGTTTTGAGATGGAGTCTCTGTAAGCCACCTACAGTAGCAGGCTCACCCTAACCTCACTCTGAAGCTCGGGGAGACCTTGAACTTGTGATCTTCCTGCCTTAGACAAGCAAGTCTCTGGGATCATGGGCTGGCATCACCAGCTCAGAGGAAAAACGCCAGCTTTCTTTCAACAGTTCTAGGTGACTACCTGATTTCTCAGTCTTAGGACTGCTGAAAGTGGAACCAGACTGTAGTAACTGACTTTGTGGGGCTTCAGTTGGATCTAGCCAACTTGCCTGGTTTGTACCTGAGAGGGGAAATGTGGATTGAGAAAGGGCAGGTAAAAATAATAAGGAAAAGATAGAAGCACAGGACAGAATCAGGAGAACCCCAAGTTTATTCTTCAAATTCTTACATACCCAAACCAACAGACCTTCTTCCTTAATTTCTCAAACATTTGATAACTGCGCCTCAGACTAAATCTCTTGTTATCTGGTGTTGAGGGTTAAGAGTAACCACACCTCAGACCAAGTCTCCTCTCTGGGAAGCTGGAAGGCCATCTGGGAGCATTGCATCCATTAAACGTGGGCTTTTTCAAATTCGGTTTGATGTGGTCTGATTTGGATTGCTGCATCGGTGGAGAGGCTTATCAGTGGCATGTTGAAAACTGAAACCTACTACAGAAAATCCACTGCTCCACCCCAGAAAAATGCTGTATTAAAGGAAAGGAAAATCTGAAAATGCAGACTAGGGAATCAACTGGTCATACTGTGTCCCTCACATGATTGCTCAGGGGTTGAGTCACGGCAAACTGAAATGCCCTGTTGGCCTGGAAAGAGATGCACCATTCAGAGACCACGCCTGTTACAATGTGGTCACAGCTGCTGTCTAGTATGGGGCCCTCTGTACATGGGGATGCTTTGAAATAACTCTACAGCTGAGATGCAATCAGACGATTCTGACAACTGAGGACTGACTCAAAGAAACTGACATTGGTGTTCCTAGACGTCCAGAACCAGACCCTCGCAGTCTCACCTCCCCTGCAAATGGAGATCAGAAATTCGCTCGTGCTCACCTGTCCTGGAATCTGCAGAAGCAAGAGGAACAAAGCAGTCTAGGTACAGAAAGGAGGCCACAGCAGTTAGCTGACTTCGTAGCTGTTACAAGGCACAGAAAGGTCTCACTTGCATGGAGGCTGCTGCCCTTGGCCTCCAGGGTGTTGCCTAATCATGCATATAGAGCTGGGGTTTGCTGCCTCGCTGGGGGAGTGCCTGAAGATCACTGTGAAGGGCACTGTCTGTCCTCTGTAGTCATTTGCTTCTTGTGTCCACATCAGTCACGCAGGAATCCCCTCATGGACTCACCTGTGCTGGGCTCTGGAGGACGGAACAGAAAAACAAGTCAATTGTGATGCAGAAGAGAAGAGTTAGGTAGATGCTGACTGATTCTAATGTGGAGGACAAACCTGGGGAATCCCACGAAGGTCTCAAAGAGGCTTGATCTGCATATTTAAAAACCATGGTTGCAAGCTGACCAGGAAAGAGGATTGTCTCTAAGCAAGAAGCTCCAGGAAGCATTGGAGAAGCCCCCCTGGAGGACAGCAGTGAGCACCAATGCCTCCTTTCAGGCCATCAGGGTTGTCACCCATTGCTATTTTCCTGAACTCTTACCTCGGTCACTGAAAGTGTTCATGAAGCAGATGAAAAACTTTGGCATTGAGAAGACTCTCCCAACTGCATTTAGATCAGTAATTATACAAAAATGTCATCCGAGGTAAGGTAGTGTTTCCAAAAAAGCAGAGCCCTATATAACCCAGCGCTGTCATTTTTAAGTGTCCTCTCTACTCAGCTACCGTTGGCAAGTGACTAATCTTTTACCACAACAGGAAACAAACAAAACCATGAAAGAACAACAAAAATAACTATAAAGAATACCACTCTCAGAATAGCTGCAGTAACACTCAGAGACACCAAATGCTGACAAAGATGTGCAGAAACTAGATCCCACTGTCAATTAATCTGGCAGTTTCTTAAAAAGTTGCACATCTAGTCACCAGATGACCCAGCAACTGTGACGCTGGCATTCGTGCCAGAGAAATAACACCATCCACAAAACCTGGTACAAGATGTCCTCTACTGGGTGTGTGGTTAAACAAAGTGGCTCAGCCACAGCACGAGCTACTTCTCACCATCAGCAATAAGCAGCCCTACTGGCCCTCAAAGGAAAAAGGCAATCTCAGGGGCTGCACATGAGTTCTGTTCCCGAAAAGCAAACAGGCAAGGAAATACTGATGGAAGTCAGCCCCTGGCTGAGGGCCCCACCTCCTTAGTAGGCGGGGCTACGAAGGATAACAGGCGTGCCAGTGCTAACAGATGGATAGGATACAGATTAACCTATATATGACACAATCACACAAAACTAAGCACAAGTACAAATAAATGCATGTAGGTGAAGTGGGAAATCTGAAGGAGGCTGGTGGGCTGTGTCAAGATCCTGGCAAGACTGTGTTGATCAAGATCCTGGGCTGTGTTGAGCAAGATGCTGGGGGAAATCAGGAAAAGGCTACATAGTGTCTAACTGTGTTTTCCTCAAACTGCTTGTGATTCTACAATGGCCTTAGAGTAAAAGAAGTGTATTACAAGAGATGGCAGTAATTTTAGCCAGGTAAGACAGCACACCCCTCTAATCCCAGCTACTCAGGAGGCTGAGTTAGTAAGATGGTGCAATTAGAGACACAACTCAGTGGCAGAATGCTTGCCAGCTATCAACCTTAAAACAAACAAACAGAGACCCCCTTCCCAATTTTGTAAAGTGTTATAGTCTTTCCATTCCACACACACACACACACACACACACACAGTTCACATCCATTAAATGTTATTAAAATCACATTAGCTTTTTGTAGACCAGGATGTCCTTGAATTTATGGTTTTCTAGTCTAAACCCCCTGAATGCTGGGGTTATAAATTTATGTCACCATGCCTAGTTTATACTAAGATTCTGATTCTTAAAACCTCTACACCAAAAACCGGAACAGAACTGTAGGGAAAAGGGGCCAGTCAAAGAAACATACCCTGAACAGAGCCAAAGAAACACACTTTGGCCCTGCAACCAGAACCAAAGAAATGTACCCTGACCTTGAAACCAGTGCGAAAAGAACACACTTTGTCTCTGGAATCAGAGTCAGTGAAAGAAATGCACCCTAGCCCTAAAATTGGAGCCAAAAGGCTAAAAAGGACCAGAGAAAGAAACACTTTGGCCCTGAAACCAGAGCCAAATCTGACCCTAATCCTGTGCAGAAAACTAACCAATCCTCGAGCAGAGCTCTAGCCAATCTGAGCTCAGCACTGAAATCTGACCAATCCCCACCCTGGAAGCCCTATATAAATCCTGGGTCTGTTCAGCTTGTGACTGTTTGCGCTACCTGGCTGTCCTCTGCCGGAAGCCACTCTCCTGGATTCTTCCTTCCAATAAACCCCTTCAATAAGCTTTGGGTGAAGATCTTTTGCGGCAACAGAGCAGAGATGACCCTGGCAGAGCAGAGCAAGCAGACGAGCAGAGTGAGCAGGGCTGTAACACTTTTGCCGGGAGGGGGGGGGCATGGGGACATCTTCCCTTGGCAGACTCCCACTCTGCAGGAGCAGAGCTGAACTGCAGCAACTTCGCCGAGAAACCTCCTACTGGAGGAGCAAAACTGCTACACTGGGCGAACATCCCCAGCTGGAAGACCCTCTCCTGCCAGAGCAGAGCTAATACACTGGGGAAGCCTTTCCCTGAGGCAGGGCTGTAAGCTGCTACACTTACTGCAACCTGTGGTGGTCCTTGGCTCCCAAGATCCAGGATACCTTTCCATCTGAGCTGTGTAACACTCAGTATTCTGTGGCTTCCAAGTGCCAAAATATCTGACCCATCCCGATCCAGCCTGAAATGCCAACAAGAACAGTATCTGAAAGTACACTTAAAATATTTTCTTAAAATATTTCTAGATGCTAGCCCAGGCACAGTGGTGCATGCTTTTAATTCTGGCATTTGGGAGGCAGAAGCAGGACAGTCTCTTTAAGTTCAAGGCTAACTTGGTCTGTCTACATAGTAAGTTTCAGATCAGCCTGAGTTACATAGTGAGATCCTACCTCAAAAATAAACAAACCTAAAAGCTGAGTGTGGTGGTTCATGTTTGTAATCCCCACACTTGGGGTTTGTGGGACACACAGACACGAGAGGAAGAGGAGTTCAGGAACATCCCTGAGTGACAGTACGATGGCTCAGCTAGTCAAGGCACTTGCCATAAGCCCAGTGGCCAGAGTCCCATCCCTGGAGCCCACCTGGAGGGAAAGAACCAACTTCCACAAGTTTCCTCCGATCCATCTCCGCATGTGTGAGTGTGCACACATCATCAAATGAACATAAAAGATAAGTTGCTCAAGGTCAGCCAGATCTGGTCTCTAAATAAATACTTTATTAGTAATAACAATAACAGAAAGATCATCTTTGGTATACAGTGAGTTTGAGGTCAGCCTGGGCTACATGAGACCTGACGCAAAAAAACAAAAACAAAAACAAAAAAAACCAAACCAAAACAAAATATCCCCCAAAATTTTAGTGCATAGATAGAACTTTGAAGCCTTCCCTAGAAAATGTGGTTTCTCATCACTTAATTTCAGAATTATCAAAACTGCCGCTATTTCTACTTCCATGGCCAACATTATTAAAAGCAAAACACTGACTTTCTTTTTACAAATTTCCTAGAGTTTGCCAGAGATTCAGGATTAAGCCTTGGCTTAAGTCAACAATGGCTCAACTTTAATCGCAGCCCAAGCAGCTACATAGTTGTCTATGACACTCAACGCAGAAGCTGCAACCCTCCAAGCAAAGGCTGTCTTCAGGGTTCCCTCCCATTCTGTCCCCACGGAGACATCATAAACTGTGGGGAACAAACAGGCTGAGCGGCACATAGGAATGGCTATCAAAATGAAGCAGGCCCAGCCCAGTGAACATCAACCAATCGGAACCATTTGCACACCACACTCCCCCATCTAGAGGCAGAGAGTTCAGTCCTGGCCCTGCCCACTGCTCCCTGGGAAGGTTTTCTACCCTGACATGGACTGGTGAATTCTTTTTACCACATCACATTTGTCAGCCTGGACTCCGGGGTACACCAGCTACCTACTTCTGTCCCTCATGACCCTCGCTCAGCAAGCTGCAATGGGGCTGGGAGACAACTGGCAGCCTCTCCTTGGGACAGCTCCCCAGGAGGACCAGGTTTCCATGCCCCAGGGCATGGTCACTTCTGTCCCTGGGGGTGAGGGTCTAGAGTTCCCGTGGGAGTTTTCCCTCTGCCTTATGATCCTTCAACAATTCCACGGAAGAATGAGGACAGGTTGATTCCCGGCTGGGACCAGTCCCTTGTGGAACAAAGGCCTTCCTTGTCTCATACTCCACAGCCCTGCAGTAGTAAGGTGCCAGAGCTGTCTTACACCTTGCAACAGACGCCTCTCCTCCCATGGGAGCTAGCTGACAGTCCCCAACGAAGGACAACTCTGGGGGATCTGAAGGGTGGGAGAGAGGGGCCATGTGCTTAGTCTGTAAGGAAGAAAGGACTGTCTCCTGCCTCTCCTCACTTCTGTCTCAGTGCTCAGTGCAGCAGGCCATGGCAGCTCTCTGGGGTGGATCTATATACACTGTGGTAAACACTTGAGCCCTATAGTTACTTTCCTTGCTTTCTGACTGACTCAGTTCATCTGAGGATGTTCTGTGACACCAGACTGCAGAACCTGGACGCTGTACCCAGTGTCTCTGACCTTTTAACTGCGGGTTCCAGTGCCAAGATGTACTTTTAGTAAGTGAAATGCCCTCTCTGACATCTGCACCTCATGTCCTTGTGGACATCTTCTCAGGAAGTCCTTTATGAGGGCGAGCTATTCCTTTTTGAAAATGCACATCAAGTGACTTCAACCTAGGGCCCTTTTCCCTTGGAAGGGTGTCTGTTAGGGTGGGGAACTGATCTCCCCAATCATGAGACAGTTCCCCCCAGACTCACCCTCGGGAGTGGGGGTGAGGAACATTTGAAAAAACCTGGAGAAAAAAATGATTCCCAGATTCTGAAAACATCAGCATTCCTTTGTGTCATGGCTTGGCCCCGAGACAAAGAGGCATGGCCCCTAATAGGTACCCTCAACCGTAGTACTGGTCTCCAGTTTGCTCTGCTCTCTTCCAAACTGTGGAAGTGATTTCACGTTCACCACAGACACGCCATGCTGTCCCTTCTCCAGCTCCAAGTCTATGAGAAACCCGCTGTGGGCGTCTGGCCAGGCTCTCGGGTTCCTTAGGAGGACAGGGGTTGCCCCGCCTTTCTACTGACCTCCCTGCCCACACCCAC